CGTGGCCGAGGTCACTGTCCTCTGACCGGTCGGGGGGGCGTGGTTTGGCATTGTCTGGTTTGGTGTCTTGCCAAATATTGTATATAGTAAAAATATACAGTTGGGGGGGGGCACTCTGCCCATCTCTCAGGAATAACAGCTTTTCTTTTCTGTTTCCCCCTGTTCTGTTCCTCCATTTTCATCCCTCCAATTACTTATTTCCTCCATTAAGTGAGAAAGATGTGGTGAAACAGGCCCGAAATCTTAGTTCTGCAGCCCAGAAGCTGCTCCAGCAAGAGCAATAGGGCCCAGAGGAGCTTTTGTCCTTTACAGCCTCATAGGACTAACAGTGGTTCATTTTGTACTCTTATGCATTATAGAGGTACCTAGGTAGTTTGGGTCCAATTCCTAAACTCATCTGAGTCATGTTTTCACTTTTATTTAATAGACTGGGAAGCCACAAGCCCCTGGAAAATGAATCAGTTTTTTTCCCTCAGTTGTGCCAATAGTTAAGAGCAGAATATTTAATCTGTGAGTTTGTACCTTCGTGCCATTTTCAAAACACAGCCGAGACTTTTCCCATTGTGCTTATAAATGCAAGTGGAAGCACCATAAATATAACAACTGTCAGACATGTGAGAAGCTAAGAATGGACAGGCCGTCTTCTAGATATCGATCGTCTTGAAATCCGTCTGAATTGAATCGCCACGCTGAGTAATGCTCGCGCTGGGGTAAGCATTGCGCTGGTGTAACGCTCGCGCCGGGGTAACGCTCGCGCCGGGGTAACCATTGCGTTGGTAAACGCTCGCGCCGGGGTAACGCTCGCGCCGGGGTAACCATTGTGTTGGTAAACGCTCGCGCCGGTGTAACGCTCACGCCGGGGTTACGCTCGCGCCGGGGTAACCATTGCGCCGGGGTAACCATTGCGTTGGTAAACGCTCGCGCCGGTGTAACGCTCGCGCCGGGGTAACCATTGCGCCGGGGTAACCATTGCGTTGGTAAATGCTCGCGCCGGGGTAACGCTCGCGCCGGGGTAACGCTCGCGCCGGTGTAACGCTCGCGCCGAGGATGTTCTGTCATGAAAATGTAGCTCCGTGACTCAAGCATGGCCTCCAGTGCCTTACTTCTTAATGAATCCTTTCTTCAGTCCAGGGGAACATTTTGTAATGGGGAAGCGGGGGTTGGCCCCTCCCACTACACATTCCGTTAGCATGCTCTCTTTCCCGCATGATCTCTCGCTTTTTCGGCGCTCAGTAAGATGTTGCCTGGCTCTTTAATTGTCTGGTGCTCGTCAGAGCGAGTCGTTATAAAGCATGCTGGATTATTTGTGCTCCTGACACAGTAAGGGCAGCAATGTAGAATAATACACTTCCTGTCTGTTACCCTGCCAGAGTACTTAAGACTCCCGTATCAGTAGAACAGTTGTGTTTTCAAAGCTTGTTATGATTCACTCTCTTATTATAGGTCAGGATAGGCATTAGTGATCACGACCAATACTGTTACTCATCTCCTGCTACAGTGTTCTTGTTCCGGTGTAGAAATGTAATGTCAAGTAGCCCTTAGCAATCCACGCTAATATTTAGAGAATAGTGATCCATTTAAGAAGTCACTTCCAGTTTGTTCAAGATCTTTCACAGATAGCAGTTTAGATGCCAGCAAAGATTGCTTGAAATAGTCTTGATAATGTTAATTGCAGTAGTTGTTGTCACTATGTCGGGGTACTTGATGTAAGTTCTGCCAGTTTGATTGCATGCTACCATAGCAACAAACCCATTTGCAGTGACCTTTTGTTTTCCAGTTTGATCTGGCCACCTTGGCCTACACACACTGACATATCACCCCAACAGCCTGTCAGCATCACTCCTTATGATATGGCTGATTCAGTAATACTTTATGGTGCTGATTCACAGTACTGTGCAAAAAGGCAGTCAAAGAAAACGTTTGAGGCTATCGATTAGGGTAGTAAGTGTATATTGGCTCAGAATTAACAGTAACACAAAAAAAAAAAAAACTAACAAAAATTTCTTCAGTTCTCCAGAAAGTTGGATGGCTAGATGAACACCGCTTCAGTTCCAAACCTCTTCTCAGGGGCACCCCAGCCATTCCATGTGTTTGTTACATTTCACCACCAGCTCAATCAATTAATGAACCTAATTGGTTAAATAACTCAGTGAAGTTTTGAATAGCCAAACAACGTGTGCCATTAGGTGACTTAAGAGGTACATGATCATATTAGATGGTTACTGTAAATACTCAGCTGACTGTAGGTTAGGTTTTGAAATGGCTAAGCTGACACTTTGACAGACAATATCATGAAGATCATTTAAACATTTAAGACTTTTGCATGGCACTGTATATCCAACATGGAGACATACTGCTGAGGGCAGTAGGCATGTGGACAGGAAGTCAGAAGGAACATGCCACTGCCGCAAAGAAGGGGGTGGCTGTCTCTGAGTATTATTGGCTGTTACTGAGGTTATCAAGATAGTCCCACCCCACAGTGTTTACAGTATGTGCTCTGCACAATAATTAAGAACAGCCATACCATTGTGAGTGGTGATGTTTAATGGCTATAAATGCAAACAAAAACGTCTAGGTTGTCTGCAGTGTCTGTGTGGGAAAAGATCCATCTTCACACTATGTAGCAAGCTGTTCCACCTTCTCTGCTTGTGTTCCACCTCCAGCAGCCTGCTGATCTACTAACATAGTTAGACAAAATCCAGAACTGGATATTAACATCATTGTAAGAGGTGCTGACATTCCCCCTCTACACACACAGCTGTCCCTCATTTCATGGGCCCTGAACATATAGGAAGTGTTCCCTGTGTATGGGCATAACTCTCCTTCATCCCACAGGACCTGAACACATAGAGAGCACTCCCTGTGTACACACAGCTCTCCCTCATTCCACAGGACCTGAACACATAGCAAGCGTTCCCTGTGTACACACAGCTCTCCCTCATTCCACAGGACCTGAACGCATAGCAAGCATTCCCTATGTGCACACACCTTTCTGTCGTTCCACAGGATCTGAACACGTTGGAGGAGTTCCTTGTGCATGCACACAGCTCTCCCTGAATTCTTAGGCCCTGAACAAATCAGAAGAATTCCCTGTGTACAGGCACAACTTCCTTTCATTCCATGGCACCTGAACACACAGCAAGTGTTCCCTGTGTAAACACACCTCTCTCTCTCATTCCAAAGGACCTGAACGCATAGGAGTTCCTCGTGCATGCACACAGCTCTCCCTCAATTCATAGGCCCTGAACACGTCAGAAGAATGTCCTGTGTACAGGCACAACTTCCCTTCATTCCACAGTACCTGAACACATAGCAAGCATTCCCCGTGCACGCACAGCTCTCCTTTGTCCCATAGGTCCTGAATATGCACTCTTTTGCACGTATAGAAAGTGTCATTTTTGTAATGAGTGTTGAATTTAGTATGAGCCCCTTGCTAGGAAACAGCATCCATCCACCTTCCATAGCCTCTTACTCATTTCAGTGTTGTGGTAAATAAGGTACTTTACATTTGAATTCTTTGTGCACAAATCCAACTTGCTACTTTACTGCTTGCCAAGCAAAAATATCCAAGTTTGAGGAGTATTTAATTCTGGTTATACGATTAATCCCATTTTCCACACGCAACTGAGGTTATGAAATATGTGCTGTGTGCAGAATTGGGGGAATGAAAAGTGTATGTAGATACCTAAACTGTAAACCTAAAATAATACAATAAAACAAGGAAAACTTCAGCAGTGGCCTGGTTCACCTTTTTTGGACACATTTCCCTTTCATTTCCCCCTCATCTTTTTTAGGATTGTTTGAGTCGTGTGTTTTATTTTTCAGTCTCCCTGGCATTGCTTTCGTTTTTACCATAAGTCCATGTGACTCAAACTTAGAACCAGGCAGGCAGAACGGCAGCGCAGCCTGGCAGAAGAGGCCAACCGGTTCTTCAAGCAAGAGTTTGGGGACAAAATCGAGAGTCTGCAGCTGGAGGTGGACGAGCTCCAGAGGAAGAGGTATGTGACACCTGCGTTTCCCACCCGGGGGACAGAGAGCCAAGTGTCCACATCCTGATTTAACACAATGGAAGTCAATCAAATTGAAGACCGACGTGTGACGTAGGTCCAGTTTGGAGATGGAGCTGAAGAAGGAAAAGCAGCGACGAAGCGGCCCCAATCCCGAGGCTAGCGATGCGGCACCTGCACAGAAGAAGCCCTCCTCTCCACCCACCGACGTCAAGCAGCAGATGGAGGAAATCCGGAAGGTAGCGTGACCGTGCGGGGACCATGCAGTGACCGTGCGGGGACCATGCAGTGACCGTGCGGGGACCATGCAGTGACCGTGCGGGGAATCCAGGTGGCCTCTCTCCCGGCTCCTTGGCCCCGAGTGCAGGACGTTTCTATGAAAAACGCTGAATGAACCCAAGTCTGTCTGCCCTTTGTGTCAGGAGCTGGAGGCAGTGAGGAAGGAAAATGTCCAGCTGAGGACTGTGTTGGATGAGAAGGAGAGCCTCAGTCCCAGCATGTAGGTAGAGCGAAGGTGGCTGGGATTTATTCACCTGGTAATTCGCCTTCCACCTTTACATCTTTTCCGTTTCGTTTACCAACAGGTCACTCTCACAGACTGAAGACGATCAGGTATGTTCTCATAAATCACCTCCTAGACTCATGTCCTGATTTATGCAGAGTGAAGCTCTCAGTCCACAGTCGTTCCCATCTTTTCAAGGGTGAATCACTGACTGAATGCAGCCAACCATCTCTCTGTAACATGTGTGGAGAGGAGTCGTCTCTGACTCGACCCAAGGTGCTGCCTTCATACTCTCTCGCCATCTGTCTCTGTATGTCTGTCTGCTGTGGCCCTGTTTCACTCCTCTACTGTCCCACTGCAGAAACACTGCAATCACTGCCAAGTGGTGTTCTGTGAAAACTGCCTGGTCCACGAGCTGCCCCTGCCCTCCTCCATCAAGCCAGTGCAGGTGTGTGATCAGTGCCACTCCCAGTTACTGCTGCAGTACTCCTCCAGTCCCTCCTGACGACCCGGCCGTTATGGAAAGGCGCTGCGCCCGGTGGGCCACGGGGTTCTGGTTGGTTAGCAAAAGACCAGTCCATAAAGAGACTTGGTGGCCCCGTGACACACTGCTGAGGTACCATTTAAAAAAATGTGTCCACCAGGTGGATTAATGCTGGTCATATATAGGATGTAAAATTAAATTTAATTTATTTCAGTAGGGAAGTCTTTTTCTAGAATGTCACCCATGTAAAAATGTATTGTTCTTATGATGGTGTGTTTTCCAAAGATTATTATTCAAATGTTTTCCAGTTTTCTACAGAGAGCTGGATAGGATCTTGACAATAATTAAGCTTTACTGGTGTCAGAAGCACATTAATCATATATGGCTTGTAATTTTATCCAAAATTTTGAACTGAAAATACATACGATCCCATTGAGAAATGTGGTATTTTTATTTTTTTCAGTCAGAAAACTGTAAGAACAAAACAAAAATGTAACTTTTGGAGTTTGCTAGTTTGCATTCAGTTAACAATCATTCAGTAAAATCTCATTTTGCTTTTAAATAACCATAATCCTTTTCTGTAATGGATGTTTCTAATTTCCTTTTTGGAGCAGTTTCTTTACCTATTATTAAAACTCTAAAATCTAGGAGATGTTTCTTGTACTGAAACTCCATAATTTGACATGGTAAGAAGGCAGACTTTTATGAAATGAATCTAAGATTTTTATGTAGCTCTGTGAAACCATTAAAAAAAACTTTCAAATGAAATTGTGGCCAATAATTTTTTGCTCAAACATTAAAAATATCCAAAGTCTTTTAACTGACTAGATTTTAAATTAAGAAACTACATCGAAACTACATACAGCCCAAAATAACAGGATGAACAGCACTGAAAACATTTATCAGGTTTTAAACATATCTCATTAGATGTCTTTCTGAGGTCAAATATGGACCCATCCATGTTCCACACCCATTTGTCCAGCAGAGGGCTGCAGTGAGCCAGTGTCAGTGTGAGATGGAGTGCTGACCAGGGTTATCAACCACAACTGTTTACATTATGTTCAAAATGAAATGATGCAAAACTACAACTAAGGAAAAACTACAAATATTGCTTCCAAAGTTAACAAAAACAAACATCAAATACATTGTTATTTTTAAATACTATTTAGCTAGCTATTTTTTCTCACTTGTAAACTATTAATTATACCGGGAACATGTTTTTTCCATTTAGAGCACATGTATACACGGTGTGTTCATGTAGGATTTTCTACAAGTCTATAACTTTGTCTATCCCTAGAAATAAAATTAATGAATATATATAAAAACTAAATTACATCTTTAAATTAAAAACCAATCAAACTACACTAAAAAATAAAACTGAACTGGATATCTAATGAAAAATTTTAAAAACCAAAACTATAGTAAGTTGTGCTGACGTTTGCCATCATGGGGTCGGGTTCAGGGACGGACTTCCGAACACGAGACACAAGGTGACCAGCAGGACCACATACTGAGACCCAGAGGAGAGGAGGAATTGAAAAGATACTCTTATAACAGGTATATATTTCAGCTTATTTGGTACCAAGCATTGTGGTCAGAAAATATTTTAATACATAAAATGTACAGACATGAAACCAAGCCTGGGGCTGCATGGACTTAAAACAGCAAAAGCAGCAGATGGGAGGTTTAACAAGCTGTCCGTCAGCCGATAATCTGCACGAATTGGGGGTGAAGGCCCCCCCCCCCCCTGCGGCACTGGATCTGCTGTTGTGAGGCCTTCAGCTGTTTCTGAACGGACAGAAGAAAAGGAAGCTCATCCAGATGCCTCACAGTGCAGATGAGCTGATCGTACAGAGAATACAGCAGCTACCTGTCGCTTTCTGAGGTCGTGTCCACAGAGTCCTGCTTACTCTGTATCGCAGCAGAATTCAGGAAAAGCTCGATGTACCGGTCATCTGTGGGATGGGGGAAGTATGAGTATTTTGTTTGCTGCAGCATTTGCAATTTTATGAACCATGACTGACCATAACGGGCGTAAATGCAGCCCCACCCCATTTTGCAGAAGGACAACGCATCCCACTTACTCATCCGGGCCTTATCTCTGGACATGGCCGACACGGCGTCCTCGTGGCACGCGAAGTAGACGTCAGCCTCGCCGCTGGCCCGGCCGTCACCACCGTACTCCATGCAAATCTTTGCCGGCTGCAGCGGCGAGAAGAACTGGGGGGAGGAGAGCAAAACACCCAGAGGACAAATGGAGATAAGGGGAGTGAGACAGGGAAACCCCAATGGGCAGGATTGGCCGGCATGCCCCTCCCATCAAACCCCATTGGATAAAACCAGGCAGTGATGAAGCGCAGAGCTGCCCCGCCAGATCTTGGTTCCCCCACTACCATTTGTGACTCTGGTCTTACATTGACAACATCTTGGCCAGTAGCCAGGAAGGGCAGACCTCTCATATGGACACAGTGCTGAAGGGAAGCTGGGTCCTTCACAGAACTGGTCCCTGTGAAATAAAAATACAGAAATATGTTTTTTTGCTGATATACTGCAGTAATTTGCAACAATGAACAACTGTAGGTTTTTGTTTGTATTAGTCCAGTTATTAGGGACCTATGAATTTTTTTTTTCCAAATTCAATTTTTTTCAGATTTATTTTGATCCGTTTCAAGATTTTAAGTTTTTATAAGCTGCCAAACTGGAAAAAAAATGAGCCTTTAAGGACACAAGTGGAAAATGAAAGATCGATCTGCTGGCCAGATTAATTTATGAATTACAAACATATTGCGGGTCGTATAAATAAAATCAGAGCTGTCAAATCTCACACACTGACTGTGAGACACACATTTCAACCATTTCACAAGCTCACAGAAGTAAGCATTAACGGCAAGAATTAATGGACATGGCCGCGGCATACAAAGTGGAGGTTTCCGCTGAGTTCATAGCCACCGACCTCAAAGCCAATCAGAAAATAGGATTTGTTGCATGTGATCCCACTGCAAGCACATTATTACATGGATGCGCATACATACAGAGTGCAGATGAGGTGGGACTGTAAGAGCCAGATGGGATGAATGCAGTAGGCAGGGCTCTAAAGTGTCATGCATTGACCGTGAGACACCCGGTGCGTCCCTAACAGATGCAATCTTACTCCAAACTGTTGATTTAACTTGAGAGCTCTGGTAAAATATAAATAAAAGGCTGTATCCTGTTATGACTGCATTCCCCCCATTAACTAACCATTAACTAACAAAACGACTTGTTCAAATAGAAGATTAGTGCTATAATGTATTCTTGCTGTTGAAATTGATTTTAAAACATATTGGTATCGGAAAAAGTATTGTTCAGGAACCGGTATTGAAATCAAGGTATCGTTCTGGTACTGGTATCGAAAAATTCTGAGTGATGCCCAGACCTGTTCCTAGGTAAGAATTAATGACCCGTTTGGGTCGACTCACGGCTTGGAGGAGAATGATGATGAGGCGATTCGCCGCTCCTGTCGGCTGGGAAGCCGGGAGACTCTGTCCTCCTGCTGTCAGAGCAGGATGTGATGGAACTTTTCTGACTAGGAAACACCTCTATGTACCTGTAGACAAGCACCACTGTCAAATCCCTCATCAGTAATGGAGGCAGCAAATCACTTCATAAACACCGGCGCAGTCTGCTACCTGGTCCCAATAATCTCTCGGTCCCTCTTTAGAGCCAGATCTGCCATTTCCTGAGACGCAAATTCCACAAAAGCGACACCTGAACTTCTCCCTCTCTTGTCCAGAACAAACGTCACGCCGTTTTCAACGATGTCCAGACCTACGGAGAGCAAAGTCCCGTTCGCTTGTGGCTCATCAACACATGGCCTTTATTTCTGTAGGGCATGGACTGCCGACCTGAAAAGAACTGTGCGACATCCTCTACAGTACAGCTGTACGGAAGGCCCTGGAGTTTAACCACGCCATCCTGGGCCGGGGGCTGAGCTGCGGATGCCTGTAGGCCTTCGATGTCACTGTCTGATGCTTCTTTTACTGGGGGGACACAAAGACCTGATTCAGGAGCGATCTTTGTGACCATAAAGTTCAGGTTTGATAGTTTAATGGAGGGGATGTGACCAGTGGTGGGGTGACACATCCACACTGTTATGTATTGCAAAGGAAAGGACATAGGGGATAGAGGAATAGGGGAGTCTTAAGTAAATAATCAATGGTACACCCTTACATAATTATGCCTCGCTAATACACATTATGATGTATGAACAAGGTACTTCATACAGGATCCATAAAAACCATACTGGCAAACCTTCTACGTAACGTGGGCCAAGATAATGTCTGTGCTTCCTCAGCGCCTTCTGCAGGTCTTCCTTGCGCTCCATCTCAATAAACGCTTTACCACTGGGCTGCCCGTTTTCTTTCTGCATTAGATGAATGCCGTTCACCCCATCACGGATCTTGCAGTCTGTGGAACAGAACAAAAACTTCTTACCGCTTCACCTAAATTCAGTCCTTAGACGTGAGCCACTCTCTGTTGCCAGTGTGGTGCCAATGCCGAGTCCCCAAACAAGTCACCTGAGAAAAACACGAGGAGATCTTCGGTCGTGCATGACCAGGGCAGGCCTTTTGCAAAGACTATGAAGACCTCCTTATCCTTTCTCTCTCTGCTTGAATTGTACTCCGGTAAAGGAGGGTACTCCTCCTCATTGAAAGGGACGCCTGCCTACAGCGAGTCACACGCACATTAGCGCACAGCTCCGCAGTACATTTATGATGACATTACGGCATATTTCTCAAATTACCTCTGTGGAGAAAGCACGCAGGGACACGGGCTCCCCCAGGGAGGCAGCGAGTGGGCGGCGGCTGGGCTGCGGACCCCTGCCGCATAAGTGACCGAGCATCGCGGCCGCGGCGGCTGCGCCCCGGTCTGCGTCGCGGCCGACCTTCGGAGACACCAGCCGCACCATCGTGCGGTACCCTGCCGAGCGCAGTAAGGACCTGCAGAAGCCGGCCATCTCCGCCTGGATTACCACAAACTTCAGACACAGAAAAGCTGGATTTACAAGCGGAGCAGCTGGAGCGGAGAGACAGCGGAACACATCACACAACCAAAAAAGAGCCAAAGCCGGTTCTGCAGTAACCCCAATGTCACCCACGCTGACAGCAAGTCAACGACGGTGAGAAAATGAACCACGAAGAGCTCCATAGCGCTGGCGCTGTTTCCCCCATGCGAGTGCTACCACCTATCGACGTGGCGGTGTAGCGCTGCAGGGATGCTGGGTGAGAAGCACTGAGGAGGCTGCAAGTGTGATATAACCAGGGGGAGAAAAGGCGCTACATACATCAGACAAAATCTGAGCAATACATATTCCCTATATCTGAATTGTGAACAGAGTCCAGCCATTTCGCTTGGACACTGAATTATGAATATCATTTCATCATCTTGAGACTGGACACAGGTAGGCCCCATTAAGTTAGAAAACACTGGGAAATGAAGCTTTGATTGAATTGGACTGAGGTGTTCGGACACCAACTGCACATTAATGTGTTGTAAACATTTCCTGTTCGCATAGTCTCCTTTATTTACTGAAAGAGAGGTGAAAGGAACGTGAGATCTACGCATCCAGTGACAAACGGGAAATCCTGCAATGTTTGGACAACTTTATTCAGTGATTTGTTTTTTATTGTCGGTACCATATATAATTTCCGTTATAAATGACAAACTTGCAGGTTCTTGGAACTTTTAGAGGTTTATGTCTATAATAAGGCAGTAGTCTTATAAGCATGCACTTTAGCCTAGGGATAGCCGATATGCTGTTGTTTTGCCAACTAAGTATAAGAAGCTCCCGAAGAAAATAAAATTGAGGACAGTACCTAAATATAACATGTGAAGGCAAATTACCCGGGTTGTCGTTTAAAATGTGAGACTGTAGACAAAAGAATAAGATAAATTAATAAGAAACTTTATTGATACCAGCGGAGATTTCTTGAATAAATCGTGGATTTGGATGAGATATTCCCCGGGAAACGACAAAATGTCTAACCACTCTCTCCCGCGAGCAACTTACATTTCTATATCGAAAGGAAAACGTGAATGAGCTGATATAGCTGATATGACTGAGACCGCCGTAGTCCCAGTTCCCTCCGCCCTCGGAATACGGGTGCATTGTGGGTAAGACACGCAACTTTAAATTTTGCATACCGGTTGCATTATGGGTATTTTGCAAAGGTGCCGGTGGACTTCACACACTTCTTTTTATTAAAACGGATTATTTAATAGATGCAGGTATTGTATGGACATTTCTTAATTAAAAATGCATTCCGCTGTATGAAAACATGACCTGGTATCTTTTAGCTAGTAGCTACTTTGATGGTAACATGCCAAGAAGTATCAGCGCTGACCAGCGGCATAACTAAGTATTAATTGAGGAAGAGGGACAGGAAAATGTACAAGTATTTGCGAACATATTCTGTGTACTTTTAATAACTGACTCTGTAACTGTGTGTAAGGAGTGAGAGTGTCTGGCTAACTTCTCTAACAGCTAAAATAGCACAGCGTATAGTGGAGACTCTGCTCTCTTTCGGACCTGCAGGGTAGGACATGGCGCGCATAATAAAAGATATTAACTATGGATTCAGGATGAATGTCCCTGATGGTTATTACTGCACGGGAAAGCGCGATGGCTGGTTCGAATGTTGCCGGCTCAGTAAGAGCAGTCTGCCTGTGGTGCCGTGTTATGCCGCCTGGTGACAGCGCTGTGTCCATCAGGTGCACCATCATGGCCTCGAACCCGCTCATCGCCGAGCAGCAGAAGATCCAGCGGCAGATCGAGGCATTGCAGCGCCGCCTAGCTCCGCTGGGCAGCGCCGCCGATGAACCGCTGTCCAGTTCCGACCTGTCAGACGGTCAGTCAGTAGCAGCGCCCCTTGCAGGCGTTATCTGGTGCTTGATGATTCAGCCAGACTTCTTCAGCATTTACAGTTTGCCCTGAAATTTACAGAATCCTGCGGAAATTTATTGAGGGTGATTTGGGGTGCTGTAGCCATTCTAGGGGAAGCTAAACAATCTGCTGAAGTGTCTGTAGATAGTAGTCTCCTTCTGGGTTGATTTTCTTCTCTTTATTGTTTATGACAATGAATAAATTGTCTTCAGAGTCTAAATAAGTTTGAGATGTGGACCAGAGAGATGCAACAGGATTCCTGTCTAAATGTAGATGCTTAATTCTTCAGTGTTTGAACTATGCCCTCCAGGGTGACGAGTCTTGTCGTGATATGTCTGTATCTACCTGCTTTCAGATGATGGATCGGAGGGCAGTAACCAGGGGCAGGCTGTCATGGTAAGAGCAGCCCGAATATGCTCTCAGGAAGATGGTCTATCCTTCAGGAGCACAGTAACCACTGGGTGTTCATGGCTGTTATGGGCAGAAAAGTCCCATGAACGTGAAAATTCACGAGTAATACTTCAGCACCCTTAATCTCAATCCATAACACTCTGCTAGCCTGAATGATAACAAAGTCTATTTAGCATCAATTTCTAAGCAAACAGTACTGTACACTTCCCATGTGGAAATACTTCATGATTTTCCATCAAGACACTTTTATATAACATACAAACAATCTGAATTATGCCCCTGTATGCACAGAGTTACTACTGCACACACGGGGGCAGCGCATTTTGGACTCATTATTAAAAATGTACAATTAACATCAATGTAAAGTTTAAAAGTTACTGAGAGAAACACACGTTTCCACAGTCACTCAGACAGCTAACAAGTGGGTGAGGCAGGTTACCAAGACAAAGATGTGCAGCATACCCAAGCAAAGACTTTTAATATTAGAGATATGTTATGCACTTACTGTACACTAACATTTATATATTATATGATTTCATGTGATCCAAATCATTTTCAGTATTGTTTTTGGTTTACACGTTCTCTGTGAGTGTCTGTCGGCGAGCTCCAGAAATATCGTCATTTAATTGTTCACGGCCAACTCGAGAATAACAGCGAATGTCAAATTCATGATTGTGGAGGGGCGACTGTACAGGTAAGCATTCCCTCACTTTCCTCAGGTCCAGGAGGACATTGTGGCTGAGCGGGAACGCATCCAGAGGGAGATTGAGGACCTAGAGAGGACTCTGGGACCTGATGCCTCACTTGTGGACATTCAAGGTAATGAAGAATCAGCATTCCTGGCCAAAAGATGCTTGGTTGTTTATGATCCTCCATTTTCATATTATCATAATTATGATGTATTACCAGCCATAATTTAATAAATGAATGTAATGCATCTTATATTTTACGTATTTAGAAGACACTCCAGTTTCCCCCCACAGTCCAAAAAAATGCTGATGGTAATGGGAGTTACCAAGTTGCCCTTAAGTGTGCACGTGTGAGTGAATGGTGTGTGAGTGTGCCCTGTGATGGGTTGGCGACCCATCCTGAGTTTTTCCCCTGCCTTCCGCCTGTAGCCTTTGGGATAGGCTCTGGACCCCCCCGTGACCCTGAACAGGATAAGCAGTTTCAGAAAATGGATGGCTGGATATTTAGAAGACACTCTCGTCCAAAGTGAGGGAAATAGCATATTGAGAACATAGATGTTGTCAAGGAATTTAGATATAAGAGCTGTTAGGCTGAGCTTACAATGAATGCTCAGGTTTGAAACTTTTGATCGAGATGGGTGCCTTTCCACTGATGGACCTGTAAGCCAGCACCAAGAACTTGAACTTCATGCAAGTGCTGATAGGGAGCCAATGAAGAGAGACAAGGAGGGCTGTGACATGAGAATGTTTAGGCTGAATGAATATCAGATGCGTTGCCACATTTTGAATCATTTGTAGTGTCTGATAGCACGAGCTGTCAGACCTGCTAGTAGAGATGTAGAGTCGTTTTTTCATGATGGATGGCAGGGCTGGCAGGGAAGACCAAGAAGCTCAGTCATGGAGATATTAAGCTGGACACTTGAATTGGACACTTCTGCACTCCAAACCACTTGAAATGACCTGTAAATGTCAAAGCAGTGCAGAGCAGTCCCTGTGATGCCAAGCTGAGAGAGGGTGGCTAGGAGGATTCAATGATTAACTGTGTCAAAGCCTTCAGAGAGGTCTAACAGAATCAGGACAGATGACCAGGATGCAGTTTTTGTGCCTCTCAGAGTATCCACAACAGCAAGGAGAGCAGTTTTGGTTGAGTTTACAGCTCTGAAGCCAGACTGAAGAAAGTCCAGAAGGTTGTTCTTCATGAGAAATGTGGCTGAGGACAGCGCATTCTAGATAAGAAAGTGTCTGTGGTGACTTTAATCTTCTCCTGGTAGTAGGTGGTCTTGGCGTGGGAGATGGAAGCATAGAATGATGATAGAAGTGAGTGATACTCAGGCCGGGCCATGGGATTTCTAGTATCACTTTATTATTGAGGACTGAATAATGACCAGTTTTCTGTCCTCCTCAAGCAAATGATGATGAAGAAAATGATAATGAAGCTGGAGATGCTACAGACAGTGTGAGTAGCACCTTTCTTCCTGGAATAAAGCCAACAGTCTGCTGGTAAGCCCCCATCTCAGAAATGTGTCTGATCATCTGTGGGCCAGAGTGAGGACGACAGCAGTGAGGAGCTGAACCTGCCGCAGACCGTGGAAACATGCCTGCAGATGAACCTGGTGTACCAGAAGATCCTGGAGGAGAAGCTGGTTGAGCTCGAGCGACTGCTGCGTGAAAACCAGGAGCATCAGGTGAGAGATGGAGCTGGTGGGGGATGGCGGCGTCAACCATGATCAATGTGGCGCAACAAGTGTAAATTCCCCATAATGTGAAAATATTTCAATGCAGAGTATTACAGGCACATTGAAGCAAACTCTCTTGATTGTGGAGAAAGGATATTCCTGCTCTTAGAAGCACTTGCTGTCTCACTGAGTCCAGCTTCTGCATCTTCAACACTAAACATTACAGGGTTGAGATAGACATTAATATTTTAGTTTTAATTACTATAGATTTTATTACTATAATAGGTGAGTAGAGCTGTGATGTACATGAGATTCTTCATCATCTGCTTAAATGTATGCGTATTGTTTCTCTTACATAAACTGCATTAGTGCACCTGCAGAAGTACCAAAACCAGATTATAGGGCAGATCTGTAGGTATTGGTTATTTTGGTAGAAATGGCCGAAGGTCGACTAGTTGATCCGTCAGATTCATTAGGTTTAGCATGATGAGTATTTTCTCTGTCGGTCTTTCCTGGCCATGCAAAGGCTGGACAATGTTCTCTGTACTACAAGTACCAGGTAACCTTAAAGCTGATTCATACTTCTCCGCACACATACTAGCGGATGTGTCCGCTGGAACGTTCATGACACATCTAACGTCATTGTGTGCATCCGCGGACGAACGCCTGCTGCACTCCAGATGTGTGTCCGTGCAGTGGTGTACGCACAGCTCTGGGCACACTGCGCATAAACGATTCGCTAGCGTCCACGTTAAATACAAAACATGGATGCTTTTGACGAGCGTTGGGGTAGTTTTAAAACCCTACAGACTATTTACAAGGTAACAAAACTGTTACCTACACGTAAACGTGCGCGTGTGTGTGTGTGCAGACTTGTCTGAAATTGAAAATCTCACACCAGCCAGCTGACCAAAGTTGGCAGCCCTGTGAGCTGCCTCTCTGAATTTGTAAAACAGAGAGAAAAGGACACAAACCTCACTGCTGTGGTACGTGTGCAGAGAATATCAGAGTAATAATTAATATTTTTATCATTAAGAAAAATATTAATACAACACGTTGAACACATCTGCAAAGTATGCGGCTTGACCAGAGAAGTATGAACGTTTTCCTGCCATTAGTTTGTCTCTCGATGTTTGAGGTGTTTCAGCTCTGACGTGCTTCTGTGTCCACAGAGAGAGGTGATGGCCCAGGTTTCTGGCTCTGTTCCTCAGCCAGGCTCCTCTGCAGTGGGTCCACAGAAGCTCTTCATGGGGAACTTCCTGAAACCCTACTTCAAGGACAAAGTTACCGGCTTTGTAAGAATTAATTAATAGTAGTGAAATTGTTCACATTATTTAAAAAACATTATCTTCAGAATCAGGCATATGAGAATGCTTTCTATTCACGGTACTCAAAAGTGATGCTCTCCTTGGCTTACGTAATGGTCTTTACTTCTGTCCTGTCAGGGCCCTCCTGCTAATTCAGAAACCAGAGACAAGATGAACAAGGGAACAAGGACTTTTGATCTAAAGAAAATACAAAGGTGTAAGTCTTTCACTCAATGTAACCTTCATGTTGTAGGGAAAATGAATACTTTGATGCACACAGGAGTTAATCAGAGCTCCAAGGGCTTAGGTGCCTGTGGTTTGTTTTAGGGGAGGGCTGGCAGAAGAGCCTGCTGCTCAAGTCCGTGGTCAGCGACGCCATGAAGCGCCTGTTACAGCCTAAGCTGTCCAAGTGAGTAACTCTCCATTAGTTTTCATAGCTCTGAGACACCAAGTCCAGTGTCCTCAGCAATGATCGCTGCCCAGTGATGACAAGGTGCACAAATGTGTTATTCAGCCTGCAGAAGAGTCGGCCAGACCTTTTTCGAGTTATTATAATACAGTCACTTTCCCAAACTTGAGGAACTTCTTTTTAAAGGCATTTTATGATTAGGTCATTTAATATTTGATTGAGAACAGGGAATAAATCATGATGGCCATTGCTGCCTCTATAGTGTACTTGTCTGTATATAACTGTAAACTGCTTTTGCACTGTCGGTGGTGGAACAGACAGGATGTGAAAAATGGGAAAGGGGAGGCTCACGGGAAATGGGAAAGGGGAGGCTCACGTGAAATGGGAAAGGGGAGGCTCACGGGAAATGGGAAAGGGGAGGCTTACGGGAAATGGGAAAGGGGAGGCTTACGGGAAATGGGAAAGGGAAGGCTCATGGGAAATGGGAAAGGAGAGGCTCATGGGAAATGGGAAAGGTGGAGGCTCATGGTAAATGGGAAAGGGGAGGCTCACGGGAAATGGGAAAGGGGAGGCTTACGGGAAATGGGAAAGGGAAGGCTCACGGGAAATGGGAAAGGAGAGGCTCATGGGAAATGGGAAAGGGGAGGCTCACGGGAAAGGGGAGGCTCACAGGAAATGGGAAAGGAGAGGTTCATGGGAAGTGGGAAAGGAGAGGTTCATGGGAAGTGGGAAAGGAGAGGCTCATGGGAAGTGGGAAAGGAGAGGTTCACGGGAAATGGGAAAGGAGAGGCTCACGGGAAATGGGAAAGGAGAGGCTCATGGGAAATGGGAAAGGGGAGGCTCACGGGAAATGGGAAAGGGGAGGCTCACGGGAAATGGGAAAGGAGAGGCTCATGAGAAATGGGAAAGGGGAGGCTCATGGGAAAGGGGAGGCTCATGGGAAAGGGGAGGTCCACACAGCTGTGAGGAGTTGAATCAAGCGCTAGCTGTCTCTAATTTACGCATGTTGTTTCCCTCTGTTTGTGTATTCTCTGATCCCTTTACTATGTGGAGGTCACTGTTGTGCAGAGTTGGCTGGATTTCCTCGGCTTTTCTCTCCGAAGATCCACGGGCTCACAGCGGGGTGTAACCTTTTGTCTGTGACGGCCTCTCTGTGATCCGTAGGGTGGATTACCTGACAGAGAAAATGTCCAAAGCTAATGATATAGAGAGGCAAATCATCCAGAAGCAAATCTGTGAAATAGAAAAGGAAATGGGAGACATAAGGTAACAGTGCTCTATTATTTCTGTCAACAACTGCTGCTTCTGTGAAGTTTTCCTATGACTCATGACCTCCATGCCTTTGGGTCTGCAGTGCCATGAGGGAGGAGGACCTGGCTGGCAATCGCCATGACGACCATGACTGGGAAAAAATCGCAAATGTCGATGTATGTATTTCTCTGGACCCTCCCCCCTCCTTGGTTTAATACATCAGTTAACCACTGAGTGTAAGGAAGCAATTTTCTAAATCCCCCTAAAAACTGAGGAGGCTTTAGGGATTTCCTTTTCTTTTGGGTTGGCCTAGTTTGAGGGCACCCGTTCTGCTGAAGACATGAGGAGGTTCTGGGAGAACTACCTTCACTTATCGATTAACAAGTCCTGCTGGAAGGAGGAGGAGATTGAGAAGCTAAGGGGCATCGTGGAGCAGCACCAGAGTTGCAACTGGGACCAGATTGCAGAGGATCTTGGGGTGAGTGACTTTGGACAGCAGAGCTCTATGAAGGTCTTCACCATGCCCATTACTAAAGCCGTCCATGAGGACAAAATTAAAATCCCAGGCGGACCTGTTAAATTTCATATCTATGTTCCCTGGCTGTGTTGAGATCAGGGAAATGGACAGCGTTTTAACTGTAGAACCTTGGTCTTTCAGACCAACAGGACCGCCTTCATGTGCCTTCAAACACATCAGCGTTACATCAACAAGAACTTCAAGAAGAAGGGATGGACCAAGGAGGAAGATGAGGTCTTGCGTGACCTGGTGGACAAAATGCGGATTGGAAACTTCATCCCGTACACTCAAAGTAAGCAGACTGCAACCATGTAAAATTCACTGGTGAACTTCACCTGGAGAGCGTGAAGGCTGTACTTGGGTTTCTGTCCTCTTCTACAGTTTCATACTTCATGGAGGGCCGGGAAGCTGCCCAGCTCATTTATCGCTGGACACAGGTTCTAGACCCGACACTCAGGAAAGGCCACTGGACCAAGGATGAGGATGAGGTAGGGAGCGGTGTTTGTTTCTGCTCGAAATAAAGCATGTCCTGGTGCAACTGGAAACAACGTCTGTTTAGATGTTATCTGGGATTTTCATTAGACACTCTCATCCAATTCTCTGGCATAGATGTTACTGAGGGCCGTAGCAAAGTATGGCGTGCGGGATTGGTGGAAGATTCGGAACGAGGTGCCAGGCCGGAACGATGGGCAGTGTAGGGACCGGTAAGAACGAGCTCTGTGCAAAGGGAGGAGCCAGTGCAAAGGCACCACAGCGCCATCCCAGGCAAAAAGAGGGTAGAGTGATCAGTGGGTGCTATTTCAGGTATCTGGACTGCTTGAGGGAAGATGTGAAGAAAGGCCGATGGAGCCAGGAAGAAGAATCCATGTTAATTAGACTGGTGGAAAAGTATGGTGCAGGTACGAGTGCTGTAGGTGCGGGACTCCGTTCTGGGGACCTGGGCATGTCACACATTACATGCTTGTTTCATCTGTAGGTCGATGGGCTAAGATTGCTTCAGAGATACCGAACAGGATTGACAGTCAGTGTTTACAGAAGTGGAAACTGATGACAGGAGTTAAGGTAAGCGTTCACCTCGAGCCCATCACATCTCAGTAAATGTGTCTGTGAATTTTCCATTGCCCCATGATGCTGTTCGTTTGACAGTCCAAGGTAGAGAGGACTAGAAAATCCAAAGGAGGGAAGAGACGTAGGGGAAGGAATCGAAGTAAAAGACGAACAAAGAAGAAGAGGGAAGAATTGGATCGCGTTGCTTCTGAGGAGGAGGAGGAGGAGGAGGGAGAGGAGCTGGTTTATATGGACAGTGAGGATGAAGCAGCACCACCTAAGAACCACCAGGAGGCCAACGTGCGGGACAAATACGTCCTGTCAAAGATGGATGAGTGGGTCCCCAAAATGATGCCGCTGCTCCTTCGGTTGGGTCCGGGGGTCGTGCGAGCCACTTCGAAAAACCCGGTCAGCCAGATGGAGGCGGAGGGCAAGTCCAAGTTGGGACGCATTCGCTCACAAAACAGCGTGGCTGGGAAGCACGAGCCCGTGGGAGTGCGGAGCACGATTCTGGACAAGCAGGGCTGCCCCCTAGAGGTCATTATGGAAGTAGAACCTTTCACACAGCCTCCAGAGAAGGTACTGCAGTTACATCCTTCCTAAGAGCTCTGTGAGCTTACTGTAGCCATGCACCCCACCTAGCCGCTAATGCTGACCCACACTCTCCCTAAATCAAACCCATTTCTGTTCAGGGAATTCAGCCAGTGTTTTTTCCCCTCCTGTTAGATGAATAGTTTTTCATCAGTACAGGAAGACTTCATTGTATCTCACCATTTCATCTCCCTGGGCACGTCACTGTATTCATGCAGTGGTCATTTTGTAAACTTCTCCTGAAGCGTTATCCCCATTATAGGCTAGCCATGCACTACGAAGTTCTCAAGTAAAGAAATGATGCTCAGGCTGTCTCTCTGTGTAAGAAAAAGGGACTCACTGGGTCTTGTAGTGTTCTCAACCCTTTGATGTCCACAGACCGATTTACGTTGCAAAAAAATCACACCAGCCCGTACATCACCGGGTGTCAATTCTAAAAGTTGATAAACGGAAGAGAGCTTTTTCCACAAAGGTTGTAGGGAGCTTTGCAGTCAGTTTCCTGGTACTTCACAGTTACACGAGCCAACTCTACATCCTCTTTTGCTTCTCTTTAGGAAAGACAGTTTGAAAATGAAATGATCCGAGTGTCTCTCAGTGAGGTGAAGAATCTAATTCGCTGTCCTGGGAGCCCTGCATCAAAACAGGTAAGGATTTGTTTCTATAAAAATGTTTGTTTATTTACAGTATGTATTTTAAATGTCCTTTGTGTCCTGACACATCATGTGACATCAGTCTTGTGCGTTTCTGACCTCATTCCAGCAGAAGACCTGTCTGTTGGGGCAGGTTGGCCTCAAGCGGACGGTAGCAGGCGGGAAATGCCAGCAAGCCAGCGCTAATTCTGCTGCCAAAGACAACAAATTCATGAACAGCCAGTTGCTGGTGGCCATCCTGCCTTGGATGGGCAACATGCTGTTACCCTTCAGCTCTGAGCTGAAGCGGCGCCGAAAAGGTCTGTGGACTGGTGCAGTGGTGCTGCTAGCTCAGAGCTCTGGCTTCCAGATCTTGCTTATTTCAGCCGTTCATCCCAAAGAAATGAATGTAGTGCATAGGGTAATAATCTACTGATAACCTGGCCATCAGAAAAGAGCACAGGGCCCCATTACGTATCACAGCCTCGTATAGGTGCTGCTACTCAAAACTGACTTGACAAGGTTAAGTTTGAGTTTAAGGAATGAGGTATCACAGGTCTAGCTTTCTTTGAGTAACAACCAATGGATTGTTGGCAAGATAAGATCTGGAAATGTCATAGGTTTGTGATATCTAGGACTTGGGGTCTCTGGTTTACTCTGGGGTGGATGACTGACATGGTGAGGTGACTCACTAGAGCAGTGTTTCTCAATCCAGTCCTCAGGGACTCACAGTCAGTCCGGGTTTCTGCTCCCTCCGAGGTCCCTGCCAAACAGTGCACGTTTTTGCTCCATACCAGGAGCTAGGAGGAAGCAAAAACATGCACTGTCTGCAGGTCCCCAAGGATCGAATTGGGAGACACTGTACTAGAGCTTATGCCGTCTTCACACACAGATCTGATAACCAATTTGGGAGGACATGAGTTTGTGTAAGGTGATTGTTCTGTTCTTTGCAGCTGATGTTGTGCGGCTGAAGGGTGAAGCCATTGGACTTTCCAGCACCCCCGTCTTCAAACTCCTGCTCAGCGTGAGTTGTGGTCCTCTGTGAAACCTGCCTTTTATTAAAACAATGTCAGTGTGAGAATGTGAACCACCATTCTGCTATTCTGACCTCCAAACAGGTTCTTCGCATTGATGCAGAAGGTTGTAAAAAAGTCATTGAGAAGAAACGGATTATGGTGAGCTGTGGTGATCTGTTGTGTCTGACAAGTTAACTTTTGCTTAACACTCCTAGTCAGTAAGATTAGCCACAGTGGTCAGTAGGTGCTCAGACATTCTGTGTAGTTTTTCTTTAGTGACCCAACGTTTCTCTCTCTTCAGGCATCCAAAACCCCTGCTCAAGGTAAACAGTTGTTGTTTTTCACAAAACGTCCCTTTTAAGTGCTTATTGTTTGGTGTCTTGCAGCTAATATAAGTGTTTGTTTCTCCCTGATTGCTTCATGTCAGCCCCACCACCACAGCCCAGAAGAAAACGAGCGCAGCCGAACACCGTGGCTGAGATGCTGTACAAGAAACGCTGCCAAGAGGAGAGACTGTCTCAGGAAAAGAGCCAGGCCTTCGTTCCCTGTCTCGTGGTGCCCCAGAATGTGCTCTTCGCACAGGTGCTGGTGCCGGCGGTGCCCCCTGGGCTGCCTCCACAACCCAGTAGCGGAGAGGGGGCGGCGAAGGCGGGGAAGGCCAGGGAGGGCACCCTATCGAAGAAACGTGCTCGCAAGCCCACAGAGAAGGCCGTGACCAACAAGGCCAGAACAAAAAGAATACAGCTCGCACCTAAGCAGGAGATAGCCAGCGTGCAGCCTGAGCTATCCAAGGGCGAGGCCTTCGCAAAACCGCTCACCTGGGTCATGACCCCCACCGGGCTGCTGCCTGTGAGCGGATTGGCCATGCCACTGGCTGCTGGCGGAGTCACCAGTCCAGCTCCCGTCGTCGTAAACCAGCAGGTCTCCTTGGGATTAACAGCCGGTGCAAAGAGAGCGAAGCCGTTACTCCAGGTGAAGGATGCATCCAGAGGACCTGGTCTCGCCCCCCTAACCTTGTCCATCTTGTCCCCTGGGGTGACCACAGCCTCTCCAGCAGCTGGGATGGGGTGTCTGCCCTCTAGCAAGCCTATGGAGATACATGGTTCTGGCCTTGGATCACCTGCTCCAATCTCATCTCCCACACCAACTGCGGCACAAACCAGCACGACATCACTTCCTGCGGGCCAAAACGCTGTGCAGCAAAAGCAGGCCCTCCCTTTTATCCAGCTGCTCCATCCCAGCGGCCCTGTAACGGCTCCATCCAAAGCCCCGCTACCTGTGCCCGGACCTCAGAAAAACCCTGATCGGGTTCTGCAGCCAGGCGCCAGCCCTGTCAGGGCGACCCCTGCTCCGCACCAAGGCCCCGGAGCCTCGCCTCTTTCATTGGACCCCAGCCTCATGTTCCTTGAGGAGGAGCCTCAGGTGATGGAGTGGATGAAAGGGACAGGAGGAGTGACGGTCCCCCAGCTGGATGTCACGCTGCCCTACTTGCCTCCGTTCGTCAGCAGCCTGACGACCCTGACGACTCTCCTGCAGCGCAAAAGGGCCCTGGAGTGTAATGCCCTGAAGCTGGTGGGCTCCTCCGGAGAGGCCGGCGATGAGGAGGCCTGGCGAGACGCCGTCCGCAAACAGGTTGCAGAGAAGCTGAGTGGGAATCCTGCCTACCTGCTCCTGAAGGCTCGTTTCCTGTCCTGCTTCACCATACCTGCTCTCCTGGCCACCATTCACCCTCTCAGGAGGCCCAAGTCCTCCTCAATCCTCTCCGATGATAGCAGTGAAGCTGAGGAGGAGGTGCAGGAGGAGGTCAAGAAGGACGTCGTGGAGGGAGCCGAAACCGCAGATGGCGATACTGAGCTCAGATCCGTTCAGGTGATTCTCTAGTGTCTTCTCCATGTCTCTTTTAAGATGGCCTCAAACCCCTTAGGTTTTGCATCAGGCTTTGCTGTCCACAGCGCCCCCTGTATATTACAGACTACCTGCTTGGTGTGAAAACCGCAGCAGCGAACAGTAGCCTTAAGCTCTAGAAACTGTCCTGGTTGCACTGCAGTGTCCAGTGAGGGTCTCACGTTGGACCTTCATATGAGCTGGAGCAGTCAGTCTGGCTTGGGAATGATTATTGAACCATCAGGGTTGTTTGGTGACCTGTGTTTATACAGGTGTTCCCACATTCCTGTGACTTACTTGGTGTAACTGGGACGTTATTACCTGTATTGCTTGTAGTGTTTCCTCCTAAATAGGAATTCCCCAAATACTTTCAGGTAGAAGATTCATTCATTGATCCACCCTATATGGGCGGAATGCCAGGCCCTCACAGGGCAGAGGTACACCCTATATGGGCACGATGCCAGGCCCTCACAGGGCAGACGTACACCCTATATGGGCGGGATGCCAGGCCCTCACAGGGCAGAGGTACACCCTATATGGGCACGATGCCAGGCCCTCACAGGG